GTTACAGTAGCTCAATACTGTTGCAACGAAGACCCCTGTATGTAAATCACTGTTTTGTATTAGGGTAGCAAAGGATCACAGGAGCTCAATGTAATTAAATGAACAGTAATCTCCTACTCTCCTAGTACTAAAATAAAATATAAATATCTTTGAGACAGATTGTAATATTTTTCAATATAAATAAGTTAAAGTAATATTATTGGAATCTGATTAATGGCCTGTTTATGGCACTTCATATTTTACTTGTTCGTAGCTTAAAATATTATTTGTCAGGTGTCCTCGTTAATTCTTGATCAAATCCCTTAAGTGAACCACAATTTTTATGATAATCTTCTCATCAGATATGAAAAATAAGCATCTTCTCTTTAAAAGTTAGGAAAAGAAATTACGAAGAAAAAGAAATTTTATTTGCATATAACTCAAAATGAATACAATTTCGATTGATAATAATTTACTATTTAAAGTAAATTTAAAATTCCTTATTGTGGTCGATTATCCCCATGAAAATTGGAAACGTTTTCAAATTCTCTAGGTAATGTAAAATAAAAAAAAATCTGACCATTTTTAGCAAAGATACAACTAATTGTAATATGTACGCATGCTTTACTGAGTTAATTTTAAAGAACATTAATGCATCTCTCTCATTATGTATCTAACTCTATCATTACTTACAATTTTACAATTATTATTGGTTTTCTCTCCATAAAATAATTAGTTTCTTTTTCACCTCAGAATTCATAATAGTCGGTGGAAAGCAAATGAGTATTTTTGAGTTTTTATTACCTAATTAAATAAAATAATTTAATGAGAAAACGAGCCATTTCTGAAAATTTTCGTAGATAAAATATTTGTAGGTTATAGTTGAATTTATAGGATGAGATGATACTTAGTTTTAGGTGGATGTTAATACTTTCACAAATAGGTGTCTGTACCACTTACTATAAGTTACCTCGACACAAAAATAAAAAGGGTAATAATTAGCTTAAAAGTTGATTGATTTACTGATTCAGATAGTCCCTACCTTGAATAAGAAAAGCTCTCTGAACAAGCTGAAAAGCTTTTCTGGAGAAACGGTTACAATTTTGTAGATTTTATTATTTCTAAACCCACGAATTCTTAAAAATAAATATTATTATTTATTTATCTAAATTGTAGAATATTTTTGAGGGCTTGTCACTGATAAATTTGATCTAGTGTTTTTCATATAATAATCTCGAAAAACTTTATATTTTTATCGATGGCACGATGAATTTTAGTTGTTAACGAATAGAAGAAGAAAACGTTTCTGTACCCGTGCCCGAGTGCAAGGTTTATCATTACATGATTTAACTATAAAGTATATACCAATCTATTTTTGTCGATATGTTTAGAGTCTTGGCTACCTGAAGCAGTGAATAGACTTAAGATGAAAGCCATACTTCACTGTTTTTCACGACCCCGAGGAGGAGAGTGGCATATCTTAGAAAATTAAATTTTAGAAAATACGCCTCATTGACTCATAATTCCCCGACGCCGGGCTGGAAAGAAGCGAAGGAAACGATAAAAACAATTTTTAGGGAATCACTTAAAGCGATAAAATAACAAGATAAACACCAGATCTTTTTCGGTCACGCTGTCCCTTACTAATAGCCCTCTTGCTCTGAAGGTGGTAATAACCGTGGTTCCTCGATGGGGCACGTCCCGATGATTCTGTTAGCACGCACGTTTGTGGTTTCGGGCCGATGGGTATCTGATTAGCTGCGACTTCTGTCTGTTCATCTGTCATCCCGAAGGAGTTGCTACTGTGGGAGCTGCTGTCCATTGATAGGCAATAGAATGGAAATGTAAAGCCAATAAGGTTTTGTGTAATTTGAGTAATCAACACTTTTTATCACCACGGTTTACTCAGAGCCCTGAACAAAGGTTATTTAATACCAATTATTTATTGATTAGTTGGTTTAATAAAATAATATTTTTGGCCTTAAGAGTTGTTAATGCAAGTCCTGTTTTGCCAATATAGTACTCATTTTTTGATTGCTAAATGAATCAAAATTGTATTCGAACCGCACGTAATATTCTGAGTGTAACCAAACAGTTGTTCAAAATTTGAACATAAAGAACCCCATAGTCAAAAACTTATGCAACCTCGCAATTTTACTTAACTGAATGACGATAAGAAGCTTATATAGGGACTTATATTTTATTTAAAAATTGTCCCAATTAAGAGGAATTAAATTTATTTAATGATCGTTGAAAATATATACCATCATCTGTAGCCTGCAATCCTAAACTTATTCTTCTTTGTTTCTCCAACCTTTCGTAATGGAAGGTAATGTTTCTTAAATCCTCAAGGCATTGGAATGTTGCACAGAAACCATTACTAGACTCACTAGCTAGACACATCTATCTATGATTGATTCTAGGTCTGGTCAACTATACAGAACTATAAGGTCGAGATAAAACTTAAGTTTGGCAAACCATGGAATCAGGTCTCTCGATAATACTTACCTTTCGGGTCGAATTCCAACTCATACTGCTGTCAATATTTCATTATTTTCTTCCTTACTACTCTTATCAAGCCTAATAATAGAACTTCGTTATTTATATACGAAGCAACTGGTTTTGTTAAGCAACTATTGGAAAAAGTAACTATTACTAGCTTTGTGTAATATTTTTAATGATTTTAAAGAAAATGTGTTTTTCTGCTTTACTATAATGTAAGTATTTACATGCAGCTGCTGAGTTAGTCAGAATTAGTGGTGCCCGAAATCGGTCTTGTTCTTGCTTGGTATTAACAAAATAATTTTTCATTTAACTCTTCCAATTTTTCATTTGGGCTTAGTTATGTTTCTACTACCTTAAACATTACAGTAATATCTCTATATTAATAGGCTAATTGGTAAGTGCAAGACTGTTGCGAGACTCTTGCGCAAGACCAAATCTCAGATCAAGACAGAGTGCGAAAGACAGAGACTCGTCTTGGTCTCGCATTTGGGCAACACTAGTCAGAATAACTATTTCTTATTGATGTATATTTCTTGAGTGAATATTATGGCGTTAAGAATGGTATTCAGTTCGCCACTGAAGATACTAAATTTATCTGGTACCATTATGAAAAATGTCTCAATGTTTGGGGATTCAAATAAAGCTACATTCTGTTTATTTGTATTATATACTTTTCTGCCCATTTTACAAATTTAGTCGATACATAGTATAAGTCCAAAATTTACTTAAAAATTGAAATCCGAATGTACCTACTCCTAACATATAAAGTACTTATCGACATCTTTTTTTTGGCATTTGTTTACTTTAAGAATAAAATAAAAACAGAGAATTATAATCATTTAAGTAAATTTAAAAGTGCTATACTATTATAATTAATTATTATGCATTTGTCACATAAGGGGGTCGTCATTCAATGTCTTTTTCTTAAGAATTTATCTATTTAAGTACTTATCTTATTTCAAAATTCTTCAATTAAGTGATAATGAATGTTCATTTCAATGAGGTTCTAAATAATGTTTTTCAACAAAATTTGCAGATTTATTTATTTTATGATCACTTTCTAAGGAATAAAAAAAATTATATAGGATAAATAAAACACATTATATTTTAATTTTTATGTATAAGTATTTGTTTATTATTTAATCATTCATACATGACATATAGATGGGGTCGAAAAATTTATTTTTTTGTTCAAATCAAAATCTGAATTACATTTAGGAAACAAATCAATGATCCGTTGGTAACGTTTGCCATTTTTCATATATATATATTTTTAATTGAGAATATAAATAGTTTTCATTTTAATGATGCTATATTATGATTTTCAATGTAATAACCTTTAGCAGATTTGTAATGCTGTGGCAATCGTTATCAATGGTGTGAACTACTACAAATCCATTAATGCTAATTGTATCCTCACTACAGAAGGGAATCAATAACAACATTTGGATTTTCGGTCTGCAAATCTAAAACGATGCTTTTACAATAAATTTACTGAAACATTTTTTGTACAATTTTAATTTTTTTTTTTGTTTAAATAATAAGAATAATACACATATACATATACTACACGGGCTTTACTAAACTAAACCATAATCCCTGTGTGACTCCGAATTTGTTCACATTCGTATAATCTTTATTTTTTAATTTTTTTTTTGTAATTTATAACGAAAATAAAATCCAGTCAAATGGAAATAATAAAAATTCATAAACAACAACGACTAATTCAAAATGGGAAACAGTCAACTGCAACTCATAAAAAAAGAAAGAAAAACAATAAACAGGATATACATGTATATATCAACCTTAACGAAATGTACACACTCACTGGTATTACGAATATATCTCAGTCACATTTAGACTATAGTTAGATAATGTTTATATACTCACAAATATTGAAACACAAAAATTGGGACAACAATTTCAACATCTATATTACACTTTAGTAAATCTTTAGGATATTTACAGTTTGAAAGTACACGACCGAATTTTTTCATCTTCTTTTTTTTTTTTTAATTTTTATTTTATACATATATTTTTTTTTTTGAAAAAAAAAATCGAACGGGAAAAATCCTATCCAATATTGCACTTGTCAAAATAATTTTTTTCTACCTACTACCAAAAACTTAGACACTATAATAAGTGTATTATTAATCTCATGGTGTATATTAAAATACAATTAGAAGTCCATAAAATATTTTTATTTAAATAATCAAAAACCCCATATCTGTACACAATCTTACGTCATCAGCTTTACAAATAATCGGAACGACGCTTATTGCTAGACTATATCAATACTGAGAAGGATATATTAATTTATATATATATATATATATATATATTTATATTTGCAGAAGTCTTTAGCGCTTCTTGTCCTTTCGTTGAGGACTTTTCGAAGATATATTCGGAAATGTCAATATTCACAAGACACAACACAGCACTCTAGTTCGGGGGTCCAGCGCTGCGGCAGGACACGATCACAGATTGGTACGTCATGGTGCCTACAGACCTATCACTCATACCTCTCCTGCCAGAGGTCGTGGCTGTTGGGCATGACGGAAGCTAGTTAGGTGGTCAGGTGCGTGAACTGGTAGGGATTCCCGTAGGGCTGGGACATGTGGTAATGGTAAGGGATGACGTTCATCGAGGCCATCTTGTGCTCCTTCTTCCACTTCATCCTCCGGTTCTGGAACCAGATCTTGATCTGCCTCTCCGTCAGGCAGAGCGCGTGGGCGATCTCTATCCTCCGCCGCCTCGTCAGGTACCTGTTGAAGTGGAACTCCTTCTCCAGCTCCAGTGTTTGGTACCGTGTGTAGGAGGTCCTCTGCCTCTTCGTCTCCCCGTTAGCGTTGACTGTACCTGGAACAGAAGAGATCTCGTGTTAATAAATCAAAAACTACCTACTTCAAAAGACTATATTTATAGTTGTACCTGCAAATGATTCAAACATGAACATAAATAATTATAAAACATTTTGAATACCTCTTAATTAGTAACGGTAATTATCTTGGATGTCAATAAATTGTTCTTTGGAACTGATGGAGGTAAAAAGAAAGATTATCGCAAATACTGAAGAAAAAGGGTTACGGTGTGCTGGAAAAGGTTTACTGAACACGTGAAAAGAATATCTCCATAAAGATGTTTAAAGATAAGTATGGAAATGGAAGTAGATTGAATTGAAACCAATGAAAAATAATTTAAACAATATTTGGGTCAAGAGAACTACAGTATTGCCAATTCATTAATAAAAAAATATGTATCTATTGTTGATCTTACTATGAATGCGCTACTACATGTTCAAACCATTTGAAGTATTGAGACAGAGATGAATTCAATTTGAAGTATTTGATATGACTTAACTAAACAAATATGTTTATTCGGGCGAAAATCTTTATAACATTTTTTATTTATTTATATTTAATTAATGAACCTTGTTAATATGTATTTACGGTCGCGTTCATAGAAATTGAATCATCTATTTCCTTCGATTCTAATATTGATAACATGGTGTGAATGAACATATTTAGCCTTGTTACTTGTTGCCCTTCAGTGTGGCACATTGTACTATTTACAATTCAATAAAAAAAAAATATATATATATTGATAACGGTGATTCCATTAAATGTTTTTGTTTTTCTATTATTATTTAGGTTACAAGAAAACTTAAACTATGTTTCTCAGTTTAGTTTTAACTAATGCCAGGATTAAAGCTGTGATTATGACCAGTTTAAAAAAATTATCCTCGGATATATTAAAATTGTGACGTTACATGATGTGAAGGAATTTTCACGAGAAATATATATACATATATTTATTCTCTGTGTTTTGCTTATCCATATTTATTTTTCAAGTGCTTATTAGTATTACATGTTATAATACAGGAGCGGGTTGATCATTCTCAATTTTAAACTTCTTAAGAACTTAGAATTCTTTGTAAATTTTCGTTTTGAGAGAAAAAAAAGGTTGTCATATGAAAACGTTTGCATTGCGCTGTTTTGAACCAAAATATTTGTATTACATTCTGACACTGATGTCTAGACGTGACGGCGAAAAGTAGAGTTCAAAGGGAACCCGGGTACGAAGATTGGTACTATCGCCCTAGGCCACTGCGGCTAGGACTGGAACAAGGCCAACGAAAATATTTGATATTTTCTCTGGAGGCTCGGTTGTGTTATCCTATTGATCGGGAGGGACGGGTGTCAGGACCTCCTCAAGACTCTGAAGAGAGGAACTAATTTTAAAATAGCAGCTGACAACCGGACGAACACAACGTGAAAGACTCTTCTTATTGGTTCTGTAGCTCTGCACCCTTGAGGAATATAAATAGACCCGCTGATACTTTTCTGAACTACGGGATTGTAATTTCAGTTCGTGTTGTCGTTAACTAATGATCATTTCAGATTGGGAATCTAATTTTGAACAAATAAAATATTACATTAACCCTCAATAATTTCAATTCCAAAGAAATGCATTGTTCAAGTTATAATCTGGAGCACCGATACATAATTATATAAATTATAATTTTATCTCGGTTACGTATGTGTTTTTAATATCTAAGCATAGAGAATAACCAATATAGAACTGCTTACAGAAAGTGATCAGTTAATGTCTCATGATATGAAGGAGGAGGTTAAGTCAAGATCATGCAGCTCGGAGCACAGGCGGATCTACGGGGGGGCTTTCGGGCTGAAGCTCCCCCCTCCCAAAATCGTAAAATGTAACCATGTTTTACAGAAAAAAATATTAAAAACTATCTCTTAAAGTATAATTATATTCGTGAAATTATATTTAATAGGACTTCAAGAACCACTTAAACACCATTTCATGTAGGCAATTAATTTCTTTTTCAAATTAATTATCGCTCTCCCCCAAAATTAAATCCTAGATCCGCTTGTGGCTCGGAGTAACCCATTAGTAAGCCTATTGAACAACGAATGCCTCAATAGTAGGCAAGAGGAAGACCAAAAATCAGATAAATAGATCGAACCAACAAAGATGCAGTAGAACTTCATGCAGATAACTGAAAAAAAATAGCTGATAGGTAGACATTCAGAAGGCTGTTTAAAAAAAAAAAACTGTTTAAATAATTATTTTTGTGGTTATAATTTCTTTTATGATCTAAAAACCTGAAGATTTACATCAAATAAAAAACCTACAGAAAGATAAAAAAATAATAAAGTTGTGATGAGACGTTTTTATTGTTAAAAAAAAATAATTATAACGTTGTCGTATCAACTTTCAGTTTAAATATTTCAATAATGATTGAATAAATAAATATATTTATTTCAAAATTTTATCTTCGAAAATAAAAGGTAAACAATGAAATTTAGTTTACAAATGCCATATGTGAATTGAATAATTTGCCATCTGGAAATCTTAATTTAGAGATAATTAAATGCAAAAATATTTTCAAGTAGATAGAATGAAATTTCATAAAATATCACAGTTATAAAATATAGCAATGCACAACATTATTGTTTAGTGAGTGTATAATTTAAACAATGTTAAAAGTCTTTGACTTACATAAAATAAATTATGAATTTTAAAAGTTTGATATAAAATCAAGCTCTTCACTAGTAACTTTTTATTTCATTATAAGAATAACATAGATGAAATGTATATAATGAAATTAATTTTAACAACAAACATTAAGTATAATCAGTAATTGAACTATAGTGAAACATTAATATACCAACGAAGCACTACTGCAATTTCTTCAGATATAACTCTCTAACATTTTTATTAGAAACCTTTGTTTACATATGATCATTAAGTTTCTAAATTTATACAGCATTAATATTTATGTAGATATTTATTTTTAGTGTTTTTACTATTGAAAAAGAAAATATGTTTTATTTATAATGATCCGGCAACCATGTTTTCTCTCACTCAGTCAATAGAGAGGTTATAATACACACCAGATATAAAATCAAATTTATAAAAAGTTAAACATTGTGGATTAACCTGCATGTATTAGATTTCAAATATATTCCTCGATGATGAACAGCACTGAGATTGTTCAAGAGACCTTCAACACTTCAATGTCAAACATTCCACGTTTGCGAAGGAGTAGTGTCGTAACTGAAATTGAAAGGTTGAAGAAGTCAAGAGAACAGAGAAGACAAAAACAAGCCGAAAAAAAGGAAGAGAAAGAAGCCTTGATGAACTCATTTCCTGGCAACCCCAATTGGCAGTTTAGTGTCATGATAAAAGAATACCGCAGTACTCTAGATTTGAAACCATTGAAGGATTCGGACCCGATGAAGCAGTGTCTGATAACAGTGTGTGTAAGGAAAAGGCCTCTCAACAAGAGAGAGCTTGCCAAGAAAGATGTCGACGTCATAACTGTTCCTAAGAAGGACCTGATCGTTGTGCACGAACCCAAGCTCAAGGTGGATCTTACCAAGTACTTGGAGAATCACGAATTCAAATTTGACTATGCCTTCGATGAATACTGTTCCAACGACACCGTGTACAAGTTTACAGCAAAACCGCTGGTAGATACGGTATTTGAAGGGGGGATGGCAACTTGTTTTGCATACGGTCAGACTGGTAGTGGCAAAACACATACAATGGGCGGAAAAATCTGCGGTAAATCACAAGAATATAAAGGTGGGATCTACGCGATGGCAGCTATCGATGTCTTTGAGCATCTGCACTCTCCTAAATATGAACATTTAAAACTGATAGTGACAGCCAGTTTTTTCGAAATTTATCAAGGAAAACTGTTCGACTTACTAGCCGACAAAGCTACACTTAGGGTACTAGAAGATGGAAAACAACACGTTCAAGTTGTTGGTTTGACAGAGAGAGTAGTGAACTCAGTAGATGCAGTTCTAAATTTGATACACGGAGGCAACCAGGCAAGAACATCTGGATCGACAGCAGCCAACCCAACTTCCTCTAGGTCACACGCGGTGTTCCAAATCACACTGAGAAGCTCCAGAGGTCACCAGATCCATGGCAAGTTATCCCTGATTGACTTGGCTGGTAATGAAAGAGGAGCTGACACAGCTTCGGGCGATAGGGTTACGCGGATGGAAGGAGCAGCCATCAACAAGTCATTACTGTCGCTGAAGGAGTGCATCAGGGCGCTGGGCAAGAAGGGGGCCCACCTACCCTTCCGGGGTAGTAAACTGACTCAGGTCCTCAAAGACTCTTTCGTTGGAGAAAACACGAAGACTTGTATGATTGCGATGATCAGTCCTGGAATGACATCCTGCGAACATTCCTTAAATACACTCCGCTATGCCGACAGGGTAAAGGAACTGACTTTTAGCTCTGACGGAGAACCCGATGTATGTCCCGACTTTGAACAGGAGGATAGCGATATTGATCAAGACTATCCACCAGAGGCAATGGTGGTGGACGAAGAGGGCACTGAACCTAGAAGTTCGGCAACACAACAATCCAATACAACACAACTGTGCAATGCAAACTATACAACACAACAATGCAGTATAGACAATACAACGGTGCCTCCATGTTACCAACAAGTCCCTGACAAATCAGAAGAAGAGCTCATCGAATCTTTAAACGTATGGAGGGCTAAATGCAGCGAATGTGATGTCCAAGAGATCGAAGTTCTCTCTGGCATGAAACAGCCGTATTACGAGAAAAAAGGAATTGTGTCTCGCCTATCACAAATTATAGAAGACAGAATCAATCATCTTATAGAGTTAAATGAAAAAGTAAAGTTATTTAGCCAATAAATGTATTTTACCATTTCCTGTAGTAGGTAAATTACCTTTAATATAACAATTTTTACTAATTAATAATTCGAGAAATTCACATGCAAGAGCTTTAAAGTGAGCTAAAAAATATATAAATGTGTATTTCTTATAGTGATAGATTCATGTTGTACAATTACTATAACACAGTTTTCGTATTAACAATTTAAAATTTACTTTACACTTAAGTAACACTATAGAGAATTAGAGAAAATTAAAATCATCTTGACATCTTTATTTAAATTTGATAATACATAGATCATTTGATTATTTTAATTACATACAAAAATAAACTAGATATTACAAAATTCTTTTTTGTGATTTTTAATATAATTTTTATTTACCTAATTCAGCTGTTCAGATAAAAAAGAGCAATGTACATTGGTAATACAGTCAACATTGGTTCAAGAGAATAATAAATGTTCCATTTAAGCAGACCCTACGACCCTAAGATTGCCCGCTATCGGTTTGATCATGAAGACCCCTACACGTTCAATCGTTACTGATCATTACTTATCGTTGCTGATACCAATTTAGCTCAGTTGTAAACAAAGAAACAGCATAGATATGCTTATTTGGACATTGTCATTTATAATATTGGGCATCAAGAGAAAAACGGAGATATAATAATTACTTCCTAGTGCCTGAAAATCGTTTAGACCAAAGTTAGAAAAATATAAGTCAACTACATACAAAAATCTGGGAAAAGTATTGCGAAAATAATCAATTTGTTAAGAAAAATGGAAAAATTAATGGCAAATAAACACAACAGTTAAAGATTTTTTTTCTATAAGTAAATTTTGAAGTTTCCACTTTTTTTTCTATCCAATTTATTGCCTACTTGACTATTTAAAGAAAAAATAGTTGAAAATGGTTAATAATAATATAGACTAGGGATATAAACAACTATTTACTTTTATGAAATTATTTACTTAATAACGAGGCCTAGGTAAACTAACCTATCTAGTAGTAAGGTTAGTCTCATAGAAAATCGTTTTGACAAAAGTTAGTAAAATATAAGTCTACTACTTACAAAAATTAAGGAAAGGTATTGCGAAAATAATAAATTTGTTGAGGAAAATGGGAAAAGAACTGATAAATATACACAACGTAAGTTTTTTTTTTTTTTCCTAAAATAAATTGTGAAGTTTCCTCATTTTTTTTTTAATTTGTTGACCACTTGACTATTTAAAAGAAATAATTGAAGATGGTTTAAAATTATAAACAAGGGATATGAAAAATTATTTAACTATTTACATATAATGAAAATCAGAAATTTATAATGGTGTGAGGCCTAGCTAACCTAACTTATCCAGCAGTATGGTTAGTTTCCCACTACTTTTACCTCAGACCCCCCCTCCACTTCTCGTGAATGAACCTTTGATTTCCGGATGTTCGGAAATCCGCAGCGCACCACCATCAGTACTTCATTCCCTACCTTACACGACAATTCGGAACGTCATTAGTGCAATTCCGATTGACCGTGTAGGGTCCCCTATACGAAATTATAGATTTGCTGTTAAATCTATAATTTATTTATTAAAATCTATTATTTATTTATTAGCAGATGACACATATATTGTTTTAATATCATTTTACAATAGTTGTTTAATAATATTGGGTCGTTATCTTGTCTTCTCTTAGCTCTGATGAAAATTTGAAACTTAGGCCAAAACGTCAGTACAAAAAAAATTAATTTGTGTGTTCAATGCAGCCCCAAACAACTTTCCAACTCTTTTTTTTTCCGTATCACTTTCTATGGTTGTTCTCATATGTGCCATTATAGAAACATATGATTTTTATTATAAATATGTTATTGATACAAAATAAAAGAATTTATTTGGAGTGACTAAGAGAGTGGCAGTGGGACGGTTGAGGGCCCGCAGATCGAATTCAATAAACACAATTTTGAGGCGCTGCTGTTTCTTTACCATTTATATCTGTCGGCCTCCTCCCCCCCCCCCTCCCACCCTAACAGACAATGGCTCCCTAATGCACAGCTCCGCTGCCTGCTCTACTGCGTTCTCCCAAATTGTTTGTTTTCCTCCCCTTATTTTATTATAAATATAACAATAACGATATCAACATTAAAGAAAAAAATATATACATATCGTCGGTTTATTGCAGAAAATCATTAAATGACATTTCATAACCTGAATTACAAAAAAAATTTTGAACATTTTTTCATTTATGGAATCAGAAAACTGTGCACTTGTTATATGTATATTTGATATATAAAAGGGTTTGTTTCATTTTCAAGCTCTTACATTGTTTTGTATCGATAAATAAAGTAGAAATTCATAAATCGTTTTTGAAATTTAACCTATACCAAAAACGCACTTGAAATAAACCGAAGATATGTTAATTGAAATTCACAACTGTTGCAGAGATATAGTTAGTGGGAGTGAAAAAACTTTTTTTTGTCATGTGACCTTGTAGCCTTATTTTCAGACGCCTTGAAGGCTTGACAGATTACAAGGTTATCAAATGAAATTTGATTGTTTTGTTTTTTTAATTTCCTTTTAATATTAAAAACTACTATTATATTTGCTAACCAACAACTAACTTGAATACTTGATCGACTGTCATGATATTTTGCTCGTTCAAGCACAAAACATGCTATAGAAATAACTATAAATAATTTATATTCTGGTTAAAGCAAGTTAGTATTTCGATATACCTTTTTTTTCCTAATTACAAATTTAAAATTATATTTTCCATTTTGATCTTTTCTTTAAACATCTTTTCACTATTATTTGTCGATTGGTCAATCTAATAAATAAGCACACATGGTTTTTTATTGTTATTTATTAATGAACGTTTCGAGAAATCTCTGTTATCTTCTTCAGCAGCAAAAATTATACAATTAATATATTATAGGCTATACCATAGGTGGGGAATCGCAGCTTCGGAGGTTGTGTCCTCTGTGACGTAGTTGCGGCCTCCAAACCTTCTTTAGCGATATTTATTAATATAGTTCTAGAATTAATTAATATTTAATTATTTAATTATTGACAATTTGGAAATAATTACAATTAAGTTCTATGTACATGGTGTGTGTATTTAGTGATAAATAAAAATAGCTATGGTAAAATATAAAGAATTATTACGACCTCTTATGATAAAAAGGTCTCCCCCCCTATGAGCTATACCATGAACCAGTCATTTTTAATTTTAAAACCAAAATCGATTAAAAAAATTTCAGCTACCTTAATATAAATTATTTTAAATACATTTTTTAAAATAATGTAATTACATAATATAAATGACCCAAGATTGGTTGTCACAGATTAGTATTAAGTATATAAAATTCATTTAGATTTATTATTGGGAGAGAGAGGGTTGAATACTAGATTTATACGAAACATTCATTAATTAATAAATTAAATTAAAATTAAGCAATATTATTAAAATATCAATTGCGATTATTTATTAGATTGACCTATAGGCAAATAATAGTGAAAAGATAAAATTATATTTTGAAAACAAACAAACTTATGATGACGTCTGAAGAACTATTATTCTTATGAAGCAATAAAAAAAAAAAAATAAGTGGAATAAAATTCAGATCTTTTGTCCATTAGCTTGTCGCCCTTAATTGCGAATTGATTGGCAGAAACACGTTGCCAGAGGCGTTGTACAGGGCCCATAATGCCAGAGTGCTACAACCATTGCCGCCGGTAATTCATACGGTACTGACGTAAGCAGGATTAATCCTTTCAGTGTATATAGAGCATTGAAAGGTAAATGTCAATTCTAGACCGCCATAAGGAAACGTAACGTATCAATCTTGTTACTTAATATGACGCGTTGTATATGAATGAAATTAATTTATTCAAACATATCAAGCCTCCATCCTCTGATATTCTTTATAAAATAATATATATTGATAATAAATACATATTTATAGACTATTCCTGCAGGAAAGGGAAAACCTGAAAAGTCGGAGAATTTTGTGAACCTCGAGAAATTAGGGTAAAATTTTGGAATTTAATGAAAAATTACCGAAAATTATAGAATTGCTTTATAAAATTGCTACATGGTGAGAGACGCGAGCACGACATTATTGTACCATACTAACCATCATTCTTGTTGATGATATCATTATAAATTACTTTTTAATTTTTTCCCTTAAATCTGTTTTTTTTTTTAATTAAATATAATTTTTAGGCTTGCAAGTAGTAAAAAAATTAATAAAAAGAACTACAATTTTAGTTGTAATTAGGACTGCATATATAGATTTCTTTTGGTGGAAATAACTTGTCACCATATTTTTTAGCACATTTCCCGATACACAATCAACCCAAAATACATAAATTCATTTTCAGACATTAAAATACAGGAAAGGGGCCCTCTGCCCGTGAAACTGACAAAAAAATAAACGATTGTAAAAGTTTATCATTTTCATAAATAAAAGAAATATACTCCATAGATGACGATTGGTAGTGAAAAAAATATAAAAACATCAAGAAGGAATAATACAAACACAATTAAAAGTGCGGCACATGCAAGTGCCTTTGGGAACTGGTGGGTTATGGTGTGTTTTATTAAACAGGATTCTTAATACAAAAATTAGGTGCAATCTAGATAAGGTGCCCAAAATCGGTCTTGCTCTTACACCTTGCAAGACCAAGACCAACACTGTCTATATGTTGCAAGACTAAGAATAAGACTGGTAAAAAAAAATCGATTTTTTGAATAAAAATTGGGAAAAAATAGTTGCTAATAATTGACAATTTCAGTTACTATATGTAAGGCATTGGTGTAAGCGATAAATTTTTGCATTTAACTCTTCTAATTTTTCATTCAGACTTAGTTAGGTTTCTCCCATCTAAAAAAAAACAGTAATATCTCTCTAGTAATAACCTAATAGGTAACTGCAAGACTGTTACGAGAGTCTTACGCAAGACCATGACCTAGACCAGGACTGAGTTTGCAAGACCAAGACTCCTCTCGGTCTTGCATTTTGGCAACACTAGTTATATACTTACGAGCTATTTCTAAGACCGCTAAAAGATAAAGAACAAACTTACGAGGTGTTATAGTCATTAATACACCTGT